GTGTGTGTGTGTGTGTGTGTGTGTGTGTGTATGTATGTATATATATATATATATATATATATTCATTCCTCATCTGTCTTTTCTTTGGCTTATATGGTATTTTCTGCCAAGATGCAATTCAAACTAATTAGTAGGTTTCAGAGATGAGAAGGCAATCTAATTACTTGTCTCCTTTACCCATTTCTGACAATATCCATGAGTGCACTTGTCTTCGTACTCCTCACCTGGTTGCCGCCACACATGCTTGACACTATCTGAACCAAATAAGTTTATCTTGGTCTCATCGGACTACATGACATTGTTCCAGAAATCCATGTCCTTAACCTGTGTGTCTGCAGCAAACCATTTGTGGGTTTTCTTGTGCATTATCTTCAGAAGAGGCTTCCTTCTACAACGACAGCCCCGCAGACCAATTTGATGCAGCTGGTGGCGTATGGTCTGAGCACTGACAAGCTGACACCCCACCCCCACTCCTTTAACCTCTGCAGAAATGCTGGCAGCACTCATACATCTGTTTCCCAAAGTCAGCCTCTGGATATGATGTTGAGCATGGACACTCAAGTTCTTTGGTTGACCATGACGAGGCCTGTCCTGGGGAACCTGTCCTGTTAAACCACTGTATGGTCTTGGCCACCATCTGCAGTTCAGTTTCAGGGTCTTGGCAATCTTCTTATAACCTAGGCCATTTTTATGTTAAGCAACAATTTATTTTTTTCAGATCCTCGGAAAGTTCATTGTCATGAGGTGCCATATTGAACTTCCAGTGACCAGAGAGAGTGAGAGCAATAACACCAAATTTATCATACCTGCTTCCCCCTTCACACCTGAGACCGTGTAACACTAATGAGTCACATGACACCAGGAAATGAAAACGGCTACTTGGGTCCCATTTGGACATTATCACTTAGGGATGTACTCACTTTTGTTGCCAGCAGCTTAGACATTAATGGCTGTGTGTTGCATTATTTTGAGGGGACAGCAGATTTACACAATTATACAATATTCACTAGTTTACATTGTAGCCAAGTGTCATTTCTTCAGTGTTGTCACATGAAAAGATATACTTAAATATTTACAAAATGTGAGGGGGGGTACTCACTTTTGTGATATACTGTATTCTCCCCTTCTGGAAATGAATTATGTGTTTTTCCTTTTTGTTTGATGGGATTCAAAGTAACTCATAAATCTGCAGTTAAAGGATATCCAGTGTTTGTTAAAAGGTGCTTTACAATATTGAGTGCTACAGAACAGGAGGATTATGAGGATGGAAAAAAAATCAAAATTACATTCAGAAGAAGAATTTCAGGTGCCATAATATTATGGTGACATATTCTACCTAACCGTCCCAAATTGGTTCAATTTTCATAGTGTAGTCTGTATTTTTAAATCTGCATTTTTTTTTCATATTTTCATTTATCCTACAAAAGGATAAATTTGTAGGATAATGTTGGTTTATAGTTTTAATAGGATATGACATGTAAGATATGTATTACATTGTTTGATTATTGATAATAATATGCTTTAATTGATTTGGAGCCATCTAGAGATTGATATACTGCAAGCTGGGTAGATATATAAATTTTTAAAGTGAATAGATAGGGTGTCCCATACTTTCCTAAGACAACCTGGTTAAACTGTTTGTCTAAACCTTCACCGTTCCCCCACTATGTTGTACAATCCAAATGATCAGTGTGTGGATGTCTGCAGTGATAAAGCCTTAAACACACAGTTCTGCAAATGTGAGCTGGAACTCTGAATCACATGATTATTATTTATTTTATATTTTATTTATTTAGGTTTATATACAAAGACATTCCCTATGATGATTCCCTGCCATGGGCAATTTGTAGATATTAAGATCCGAAATGAAAAAGCTGTCAAATGTCATGAATTCTTGAAAGGAAAGCATGACTTCCTAAGATGCTAAAGGCTCCAACAGAAAAACAGGAAGTGTTACTGAATAAACAAGTGAATGAAATAGTAATACAGATAGCTCTCGACTTACAATAGTTCATTTAGTGACCATTCCAAGTCACAATGGCACTGAAAAAAGTGACTTATGACTGTTTTTCACAGTTACGATCTTTGCAGCATCCCCATGATCATTTGATCAAAATTCAGATGCTTGGCAATTGGTTCATATTGGTGATCATTGTTGTGATCACCTTTGTGATCTTCTGACAATCAAAGTCAATGGGGAAGTCAGGTTAGTAACAACCAGGTTACTAACATATCAACTGCAATGATTCACTTAACAACTGAGGCAAGAAAGGTCATAAACCATGGCAAAACTCACATAACAAATGTCTCAGTTAACAACAGAAAACTTAGGCTCAATTGTGGTCATAAGTCGAGGACTACCTGTATATAAAGCTAAAGCCCATGAAAATAATGAAGTATATATGACAGGGGAAAGTTAAACGTAGTGGAACCAAAATATTTTTATTTATATTTTAGTATATATGTTTATTAAAAAATTTAAACAAGAAGAAAAAAACTGACACAATGAAGTACAGAGAAAAAGAATCAAAGAAAAAACAAAAGTGAAAGAAAAGAAGAAAAGTTGAAGAAAAATAGAAAAGGAAGATGTAAAGAAATCAAAAAAATTTAGAATAAAAATAGTATCAACTTTTAAATTAGGTAGTTTGGGAACTTAATTCCCACAGAATACAGTCATATATTATGGGGGAAAATTATCTCCATTTCTGGATAACAGAAGCTAATATAGATGCTAATGAATTTTT